CTCAAGTATTTTTAGGCTCACTAAAAAGGGATTTATGCTAGTATTTATTTTTATTTGTGTGGGATTGTTCCTCTTGTGTTGTGAAAATGATTGATGAAAAGTTTTGACAAACACTTATGTAGACTGCCTACTTAACACAACCTACTCTTTTAACCGGGTTTGGGACGGGTTAAAAAAAAACTTAAGATCCTCACCTTTCTTGCCCCCTCTTGTGTATGTCACTTAATTATTTATTTCCATTTGTGTGGGATTGCCTTCAGTTTATTTGTGTATGTCACTGTTGGAAACCCCCTTGCATAAATAAAAGGCGGTCTTCAGTGGTTGCTATTTGGTAATAGCTGCAAAAAAAACATAGGGCCCATTTGGTTCATTGGATTCAGATTTCCAAGAGTCACTTTTTTTGGAAGTTGGTTCTCTTAGAATTGATATTTTCGTTGGAATTGAGATTTATGTGGGATTCCTAAATACTCATTTTAAGCTTAAATTTTGGAAATCTCAATTGTACCAAAAATAGGTGGAATTGACATTTCATGGAAATGATCCATTTTGCTACTAAAGAACAAAAAATATGAAAATTTTAGAGAGACAAATTATATCAAATTTTAAAGAGCAAAAGCATATTAAAATTTTAGAGAGATAAACTATATCGATTTTTAGAAGAGAAATATACAATTTTTTAAAGAGAGAAAAATACAAAAAAATTTAGTGAGATAAACTATCTCAAATTTTTAGAAAGAGAAACTCTCTCAAATTTAAAATTTTAGGGACACCATATTAAAATTTTAGCGAGAAAAACTATCTCAAATCTTAAACATTAGAGAGAGAGAGAAAATGTCTTAAATTTTTAGAGAGAGAAACTAAATTAAATTTTAGAGAGAGAAACTAAATTAAATTTTAGAGAGAAAAACTACTTAAATTTTTTTTAGAGAGAAATATCTCAAAACATTTAACGAGAGAATTTATCTCAAATTTTAAGTTTTAGAGAGAAATCATATTAAAATTTTAGCGATTATAAACTATATCAAATTCTAAATATAGGAAATACTAGAAAATTTTTAGAGAGAGAAACTATATCAAATTTTAGATAGATAAAGTACTTGAAATATTTAGAGAGACAAACTATATCAAAAATTTTATAGAGAAAAATTATCTCAAAATTTAAGTTTTAGAGAGAGAAAGTATCTCAAAAGTTTAGATAGATAACCTATATCAAATTTTAGAGCAAGAAAGTATATAAAATTGTAGAGAGAGAAACTCTCTCAAAATTTTTAGAGAGAGAAACTATTTCAAATTTTTAGTTTTTGAAAGAGGGTGTATTAAAATTTTAGAGAAAATTTTAGAGAGAAACTATCTCAAAATTTTTAGAGAGAGAGAGATGAGAACTTGCATTTCCAAGAAAAAGATATTACAGACAGTTCAAACAAGGAATTTGCATTTTCTTGATTTCTACTAATGCAATCTAAACAAGGAATTAAAATTTTCAAAAAATCTCAATTCTAGGATTGCCTTTTCCCAGGATTGAAAAATCCAGGGATCCAAACAAGCCCTTAGGGAACATTTGTGAATCTCTTATTTTAGAGGTAGTAAAGAGCATCTAAGATATTTTAAAGGATAAACTTTATATAAGGTTGTAACTTTCAAATGTAGAATTAAAGATGCACCTCAAAAAATCCATCAGAAAGGGAAAAACCCTCTAATTGATCATCTCGATATCGAGATGTATGAATATGAGAAAAAAAAATGATTTTGAGTCCCAAAGATAGTGCATATTGCAACACATTATGTAGACCGTCCATTTTCAATGTTTTTATATGTTTATAGATCTACTTAATTTTAACTATTTTTGGAGTTTCAAATTGTATAATTATGTATGAAAATAAATTTTTAGATAAGGATGCGTTGTGTATAAAGCCTAGGCTCTAAACAATCAAAATAGAGCCTACCTTCAAATAGTGTCAAGGAATGTGGTTTCAATACTGGAAATCTTTGTGATAGCTTTAAAATATATTTTCAGTTTTATTTATAAAGTTTAAAGCTTCAAAAATAGTGTAGATCGATAGATCTATGAAAACTTGAAAATATTCAAAATACACTATATTCAAAATTTGAAATCCATTTTTTTCTCATGTCAATGCATCTTGATGTCGAGATGATCAATTTGAAAATATTTGGGCATCAAAACAACCTATTCTAGTTATAATTTTGAGGTAGGCTCTAATTTGATTTTTTAGAGTCTCGGCTCTATATAAAATTTTCTCTTTAGATAATCGTAAGAATTTTTTACACAAAAATGACATATTATGATAAAAATTTGAGGTGCATCTTAATTGTATTGTTTAAAGTCACAAACTTATAGAACCACACCCTACTTTATATTTGGGGAAAGGTTTCTATACTTCCTCTACAACATAGAAGATCAATGTTTCCCCTACCATCCAGCCGTCCAATTTTGTTCAAGTGAGCCACTCATCATATGATCTTAGATCGACGCCTCAGAGTAATTTATTTTTAATTTTTTAATATATATTTTATGAATATGAAATTTGGTCTGTGTCATCTTCTCATTGGGGCGCACCTATAAAAAAATATTAACAATAATTTTTTGATAAAATATAATAACCAAATACCCTTGAAACTTTTAGGGGTATTTTGGTTATTTTATTTTTATTGGGAATATGTTTTTATATTTTTCACAAGTGCGAGTTTAATAGATGATTAGACACCCAAAAGTTGGTTTCAAAATATTTTATATAAAAATAAAATAGTATCAAGATGTGACATTATGATTGGGAAAATCTTAGCCCTCTATTCACGGTTAGATAAGGAGAAGCATATAAGTTTTATGTTGTAGGGAAAGCATAAAAAGCTTGTCCTTATATTTAATACTCTTATTTACTGTTCAAGTGAATAGTTTCGTATTGTTACAGTACATGCAACCAGTTAATTAGAATTTAATTTCAATCTAAGATTTCTTAATTCCAAAAGGGGTGTCATTTTTTTTTTTGGGGTAAGTACCAAAGGGGATGTCTTCACAAGGAATAGAGTGACCAACTCCCAATCCAGATCCGCAATTTCCAATCTAGATTATGTGCTAACTGATTGGCCATCGTATAAACTTCTATAGCTAAAGGTTTTGGGACTAAAATTTTGATCATCTCTTGAGTTTTTATTTTGAAAATAAATAGTTTTAAAAAATAATTTTGAGTTCTTGAAAACTTAGATCCCCTTTCTATCAAATGAACACTCTACATTTCACCACCCTAAAGTGATGTACTTTTCCCCTTTTTTTTTCTGTGTGAGTTCATTGTTTGACCACCTAGATGAGATTTACACATGCAAAATTTGCAGTCCTTTAAGCATCTACCTTTCAAAATAGCTCATGCAACAATATAAGATCGCTGGCATGGTTAGAGATGGAGCTTTTAGAGAGAAAAAAGAAGAGAAATGACACCTTCAACAGGGAGAGAAAAGGCTATTTAGAGCAAGGAATGAGAGACAAGAAATGTATGATTAGAGAAAGAATTAGATATATAAAAAACATGATTAGAGGAAGGAGTTAGAGAAATAGGGGGTGCATGACAAGTGAAAAAAGAAGGAACCTAAAAAAAAAAATGTAAAAAATTAAAAAGGAAATTATCATAAATATATTTTAATTTTAGTTTAAGTGAAAAAAAAACTCAAATTTTTATAAATCTCGTTTACACTATTTTTTTTTTATTTTCAATTTTTTTTTAATCAAAATAACATTCACTATAGTCGTACTATCGTAAAAAAAACTGTGGTACTTTAACTACCATAATGTTTAACGTATTTTATAAAGTACTTTAAATATCATAATGTTTACATTTTATACGGTATGTTAACGACTGTAATGTTTATCACATTTTATACGACACTTTTAGCACTGTATGTTTCACGCATTTTATACGACTTTAATACCATAATATCCCATCCACCTCAACCCATGAAAACCACGGCCCTCATAACAATAGCATGAGGAGACTGTTAATTGGGTCCTAGTCTTTGCTAGGGTTTCGCTATGGGCGACACCTACGATTGGGTTTTGGCTGAAAACCAGGCTTTTTGAGACAGAGTTAGAGGAGAATGGAGGTCTGGAAATTGTAGAGCTCAAGGAAATAAAAAGTGGTAGAACCTTAATGAAGGAGTCAAGGTTGAGCTGATTGTTTGCTAGAGAGAGAGAGGCTGTTCAGGTTGTGAGTTGATTCGTTTCTTAGAGAGAGAGAGTGAGGGAGGTTAAGAATTACAGGCGTAATATTGAACGAAGGACCGAGTACGGTTATTGAAGGACCGAGTGACAGGCTATTTTTTAAAGTTTGAGTATCGTAAAGGGGGATAATACGGTATTAAAATTGTCAGTATAAAATGTATTAAACATAATGATAGTTAAAATATTATATAAAATATAATTATTATGGTACTTAAAGTACCGTATAAAAATATTACGGTATTTAAAATATCGAAATGTACTCCACAATAATACGACTACAGTGAACATTATTTTGATAAAAAAAAAATCAAAAATGAAAAAAAAGAGTACGGACGGCATTTAAAAAAATTAAAATTTTATTTCCAATTAAACTAAAATTAAGATGATTTATGATAACTTTTTAAATTTAAAATATAAAATTCCATAAAGGAAATGGAAGCAGCATATTCTCATTTTTTGAGACCCTATAGCACTTTGTGTTATCAAACATGTCCTCAGTTAAATAGAACGAAAATAAAAAAAGAAAAATTAGAGTAACCCCATGGTCCACGTCTAAGGTATCCAAACCCCATTGAGAAAAGATTCATGGTCCTTTTCATTACAAGGGCAATCCCATGGGATTTGCATGGGAAGAAACGGTGATTTTCCTTTCCAGCATATGATTTCTATGGGAGATACTATTGTCACTAATGAATTTTTGTTATGACCACCCAAAAATGGCCGGTAATTAGGTGCTAAAATGATATGCCTACTATGTATTTGGTAAAGATAGTAATAAAATGAGTGAGAATAGCAGGCCCTTTGGTTGCTGAGGTACTGATAATCCAATGGTTATGCTTTTCAGTGAACGTTTATGTTAGTCAGAGACTACAGAGATTCTAGAGAGAGAAAGAGATGGAGATGTGACTAGTAAGTACAATACTTGAGATATTTGTGAGAGGCATGAGAGAGAGAGAGATTGGTGACTTAGAATAAATCTTGAGAGAGTGGTGAGATGCATAAGCTTCATAGAGAGACAGGCTTCCTCATAATGTGATTGGATTAATCATACTGAGACATATTTTTGACTGCTGGGTTCCCTTTTCCTGACCTTAATTTTATAGCAGAGAGAGAGAGAGAGATGGGTTTCCTCCCCCTGTTTTTTCTCATCATCCTGGCTTTTGTAAATCCTGTTATTCTCTCTGAAAAGCATGAAGAAATTAAGGCAAACCCCACATCAAGAAGCACCATAGACGTAAAAGGGGATCCACATAATGTTGTATGGGTGGTTCAGCTTTCAGATCTCCATTTCAGTGTCTATCATCCTGAAAGAGCTCTTCAATTCTCCGAATTCATTGGCCCTGCCCTTAAGATGATCAACCCATCCCTGGTTCTCATAACTGGAGACCTTACAGGTGGGCAATACGTCATGTTTCATGTCTTATCCTTTCTTCTTCTTCTTTGTCCTATCTCTCATCTTTTTGGGTATCTTTGCCTTTCATTTTTGCTGCTTTTTGTTTTTGTACTTCTTTTGGTATTTAATTATCAGAAATAGTTGTAAATTTGCTATTCCCTTCCACTTTTGCTGCTCAGTAAATTTGTGACATCGAAAGAACACATCTAATAGCCTTGTTTTTACACTTATTTTAGTTTTTTTATTATAAAAAATGATGGTAAATTTGGAAACTTGGGTCTATTGTATTTTTTTGTTTTTTTAGTTCAGAAGCTTTGTGACTTGCAAAGAGCACAGTTAATAACCTGTTTTATGGTTAATCTCTTGAAATTTTATATAACTAGTCCAATGGGTTTAGTGGAAAATGTGAGTTCTCACAGTCAAATTGTTTTGTCATTCATTTCTTGGTATTAAATTGGTAATGACAAGAATATGGCATTGAAGACTTTTGAGTGCCCTTATTGGTCTTGGATTTTAAATGGTCGTGGTGATGATTAATGTCATTTCTTGCTTATATTAGCTGTGAATGCTTCAGTTCTCTCTGCAATTCGTTTTTCTTGTATTTAAATAAAGGATCCGGTTTCTATGCGGCAAAGCCCGCATATGTAGAAATGCAGGCCTATTAATAAATCTATTTTTGAGATTGATTTTTGGACTTAAGTTTTAAGGACATGTAATCTCTAAATTGGAGATCATGAATGTGAAAAAATAAGTAAATTCTAAAAACCAGAAATAATAATTCTAGTAAGAAAACATTTGGACTGTTAGTTTCCATTGTTTTTAGATGGAACACCTACTTGCATCCATTTTTAAGATGGATGCTTTACACTTTTTGGACCGCATATGTAGTCATGCGGTCCAACCCGCATGAAACAATTTTCCTTAGATAAATCATGTAGTGGGTATGTTAGACATGTGGCTTGAGCCTTTGTTATGTTAGTAATCAAACATATTATTTACTAAAAAGGAAATAAATGGAAGTTATTGTCCCAAAAAGTAAATATATGAGAAATTTGGGTAGTACCATGGGATTGCCATATTGATGTCTGCAATAAAATCCAGGTGCATCTAGATTCTGGCTCATGAACTGCTTGTCCAAGTGTCAAGCATATGCCTCTGGTCAAGGAATAACAAGAGAACTAAAAAAGGTTGAAATGAAGGGCATGCGGAAGAAGGGAGCCGCTTTGAACGGGATTCCTCAAATAGGGAATCCCATCCATGACTAGAACTCCTTACGTGATGTCCTGTTTTCTTGTTTCCTTTGATTGGTTACATTATGTCCTGAAACTAATACTGAACTTTAGTCTAATTTTCTTACTCATTCCATAAGGAAGAATTTTCCTTTTACTTTAATCACTTATATATATGTATATGGAAAAATCTCTAGACAGACACATACTTGTGGCATTATGATTGAAGCTCTCCCAGCCGTCCATTCAGGTTGGACGGTTGGGAATAGTAGTCACGAATGTTTGATATGTGGGTGGCACCAAATGTAAGGGTTTCCCATCCATACATCTAAGTGTGTATCTGTGTGCATTAGACGGAATGCTCCCAGTTGATTTTTTGGAGTTGAAAATGTTAGGATATGAAATACTAAAATATGCCTCTCTTAAAAGGTCTTAAGCTTAAGCTGTATTCTCCCATGTGGCATATTGTGGTTGATACAATTCCTTATGAACAAAACCTCATGGTTTTGAAATTGGTCGATCCATTTTTTAACAATTTTGTTGATGTTAGTAACATGAATTCCTTTCCCACAATTCATGGATAGTGAATTGGCACCGTTATGATGATCTGTCATGCTGTTAAAAGAAACAGAATAAAGATAATGGAATTAATCCTGAACAGTTCGACTTTCAAGTAGGTTTTTGGCAAAATGGTGAATAAAGTTTTGTTTGGACTTAAATTTAGGTGAGACTTTTTGTTCCATGTAGTGCCAACAATTTATCATGAACTGGTTGAACTTTCAGGAAGTGGATGTTCTGGATTGGTGACTCCCTTGAAGGAGATTTTCATCACCTTGTTTTATCTGGTCTTGTAAATGGCTTCAAGTTCTCACGCACATTTTAACCTCATGAACTTTTTACTTTTAAGAAGTGACTTACATGGGGTTAGTCCTGTATGGTGTCATATGGTCCTTTTATGGGGCCAACCACATTTTTTGGCTTAGCACCATTTGGCTAGAAATCCCCATCTCTTCCGTTACTTTTACCCTTGCAAGCGTGGTTGTGAGGATTTAGGACATTTGCTGGTCTCTGCAATTTACCCATGTGGAATCCCTGTTACCTCGATTCCTTGGAGTTTAAGGTACTCATACCATAATTTACTTTTTTGATTACTGGCAATAGGGTTAGGGTATTTCTGATACTTAAAAATTTCATCAATAGAAAGTTTGTGCTATAATAGAAATGTTATGTGGTGAGAACAGGGATATTTCTTATACTACAATAGAGCTCATATAGATTGTGGAATGAGAATTGAAGGAGAAATCTAATAGCATATGAATTTGTTGGGCTGCATTTTTCGAAGTGATTCCATGATACACTGTGTAATGCATATGAAACTTGTCCCTCTATTTGTCTAAGATAAATTTTTGTCATAATTCTTTCAATGTTCAAGTATTTTTTATTTATGAAGAGTCAAATTTGTCCACTATTCATTATATTGTCATCCTTTATGCAATTGCCGCTTAACCATGTTGTGACAATGTTGCTGTGGGCTAGAATAATATGAGGTTCCTCTCAGTTCCCTACTGGCATCATTTCTCCTCAATATGTGATTTCATGCTGCAAAAATGTTTACTGTTGAAGTTTCATACGTAGTTTATTTGTTCATATTGCTCTGAACAGATGGAAAAACTCTTGACCATCTAAAAATGAGAGTGGATGAGGCAGAGTGGATTGAGTATGACAAAGTAATGAAGGATGTTATTGCAAGGAGTGGGCTTCCCGTTGAATGCTTCTATGACCTAAGAGGGAATCATGACAAGTTTGGGGTGCCAGTTGTTGGTGGCAATTCTGATTTTTTTACAAAATATAGTATCAATGCAGGTTTAAACCGTAGTGGAGAGGTATTTAGTGTCACTTTACTGGTATGTGGTCCTCTTCTTTATGGTTTTCTGATTAACTCGGTTCATCAATATAATTTCGTATGGTTCCCATTAGCCCTTCACATATTTCCTCAAATTTATCCTCTATTTCTTTTGTTTATCTTATTGGTAAAATATTTTCTATTTCACCACTATAGAGTTTGCCTATCTGAGAAGGTACCAGTGGTTGCCATTTAACTTTATAAAGAAAGATTAATTTGATTAATTAGTTAAGCCAAGTACTTATTGAAATTCATTCTCATTTCTTTTTAACTTGGTTATTTGTTTATGGTTTCACGTATTAGGAATAACATAAGAGGTGATAGATTGCATACAACATACCTGGTTCAAAATACATGATAGGTCATATACTGGTATTGTTGCAAAAATCTATTTAATGCCTGAATCATCTCAAACTGTTTTCAAGAGTGAGAACTGTGAAATATTTCAACCTTTTTTTTTAATGAGTTAAATATTTCATCTTGTTCTGTTGGAAATAATCCTTCTATGGCTATTCCCTCATTCTTTCACTATCACAATGTCTTTTTGGACTCTGAAGCTTTCTATGAATGCTTTGTAATTTAATTTTATCTCTTTGATGCCTACTTGAAATTTCCAAGCTTTTCAGGCTCATCACATCAGAGTTCCTATCAGAATTCAGAACACATTTATCAGGGTTGGGACATGAAATGATGTGTTCCTTGGATTGGTTTTCTGCTTTATCTAAGGCTTAATAAAGGTCTCAATTGAATGATGGGGTGCACAGAGTCCTAAGTACCCCTATGCAAAAATATTCATTACATATTTGAACAACACTGACATTAGTTTATGCCATAATCGGGATCCAAATGTTTTCCCTTTTCTGAATAAGTTGATGGAATAAATTATATCATACACTTAATAAACAGAATATTGTTAACAAATACCTGATTATTAAAAAAAACTGATCCAACTCTGTAAAAAGATACCCCAAAGGAGATTGTACGGGGGAATGTAAGCTGCAAAAGTAGCTGGAATGCTAGTTACCCCATCATTTCCTTTTCATTACTAATCTTCTTATGAATATATATACAAAAGTTAGCATAAATTTATTGTGACTTACATGCACACTCAAAACCTTGAGTTGGATATTTTCGATTAAAACAATGTTATCAATGAAGAATGGAGGAGCAAGATTCATGTAGCCAACCGCGAATAATTAGGATAAGGCTTAGATGATGATGATGAGGTCCATTATCATTCATGTATACTATTATTTCAGTCTTTCCATCTTATGTTAACTACATTGATTTTGGACTTGTTTGTCATTAGACTCCCTCAGGATAAAATTGACTCATTAGTAAGTAGTACACACACATGCATGCACACACACACACACACACACACTCACTCACTCACTCACAGGTTTTAGGCAGGGGCGTGTGGCCTTTGGTATGGATTGACCTTTGGTATGCATTGATTTTAATGTTCTAAAGTCACCAATGGTTTAAGTGCTTGTAACCATTCAAAACCTTTGGAGCTTCTGAGTAGCTTGCCACACAATATGCAGAGCAGTGGGCGTAAGCACCTATTCGTTGGTTTTGATAGTGCAATGGCTATTGGTTTGCGTGGCCCAACCAATCTTTTCGGTCATCCAGCTGATCAGCTTCTGGCAAATCTTGATGCTGAACTTTCACAATGGGATTCTCCACATCAAGAAGCAGTGACCAAATTTTCCTTTGGCCACTTCCCACTGTCTTTCTCATCGGCTACAAGCTCTAGAAAGAGTCTAAAGGATATCTTTCTCAAACATTCTATATCGGCTTACCTTTGTGGCCATCTCCACACAAAGTTTGGGGATAATCTGAAGAAGCATTATCAGCACCCTGGCCATGGACTGGGAGCTTTACAAGGTTATTTCCAGCTGAATTCACATCAAGGTGTTTTAGAGAGAGGGAATTGTTCTCTTGGAGAGGAACCCAACAAGGAGTTTTGGGAGTGGGAGATGGGTGACTGGAGGAAGAATAGGAAGATGAGGATAGTGGCTGTTGACGATGGTCATGTCTCTTTTCTTGACATTGATTACAGGTCAAAAGCTCCATCAACAATTATATTGCCCACATTTCCCCTGGATTCTAGGACAATGCAAAGAGCTTCATATCTAGAAGGCTACCTATGCAAATCCGTCAACCAGTCTTCTTATGAGAGAATAAGAACGCTGATATTTTCAGAGAGAGAAATTATCTTTGCTATAGTAAAGATATATGACACAAGATCAGGGAATCTCAATTTGGTGTTGGAATCAAGAATGGCAAAGCAGCCAAGCAATGAGTCAAGAGGGGATCTCTATATTGTTCCATGGAATTGGAGAGCATTTGTAGATCCATCTCCTGATCGCTTTTGGCTACAAATAGAAGCAGTAGATAATTCAGGGACATTTAGTTTCAGCCAAATGAGGCCCTTCTCTATAAATGGTCAGGTATCTAAGATCCACTGGAAATGGTCTGAGTTCTTGGTCATGGGGTGTATGTGGGACTTGTTGTATCGCCCGTTACTCTTCTCTATTCTTGGTCTGCTCTTTTCCTTGCTTCTTATCCCTAAAGCTTTCCATATATACTCAAAGAGGCATCACCCCTATGAGAAGTTCAGACCCATCTTGGGCTCAAAAACCACTAGAGAGTGCATTGTGACTGGTCCTTTATGGATTTTGATGGAGCTTTCAAGGACCCCGTCTCTATGGAATAGTTTCATGGTTTATTTGCTCTACCTGATGTTTTTCCCATGGTTTTATGGGCAAGTTTTCTCTGAAAACTATAGCATGGCCTATATGTCTCCAAAGGGTTGGACTGTCAAAATTTCAGAATTGGATGGTTGGATTTCCAATATTGGTGTGCCTGATGTCTTGGTTATTGTCTTGCCTCACCTCTTTTATATAGTATTACCATCTATTTTGGTGGCTGCAGCATTGGTTGCAGAGAGAGAGAGATATAGGGTGCACTATATGTTTTTGTCAGGAAAGAAAGAAGAAGATGGTGATACAGGGTTTAGTAGGGTATCGGAGGTTAATTACTCAGGGAACTATTCTGACTGTTGTGTTTCTTTTTGCGTTTGGTGCGGGAGGTGGGCAAGGAAAGCTCTCTTGGTTGTTTGCCTTGCAATTATGTGGAAGCATTGGAAGGTAATTCTTTAACTTCTCCTGAACAGTTATTTTCTTTATTCTATTGGATTTATCCTTTTTGCGAAACCCATTGCGTTGATAAGTTTCTAGTTACTAATAACCACCTGTAGCAACACTCACTTTCAATTTCTCATTGTTCAGTTGATAGGTCCTTCGATTATAGATATAGAAAGCAATGCTCTTGAAAAACAATACATGCTGATTCACTAGGCTCTCCTCTATTTTTAGATTGCTCAGAGCTTTATATAAATGCGATCCCCTGGAAAAACCTGGAAAGTTTATTGAAGAAAAAACAGGACACTATCTTGATCCTTTTGTTTCATGTGTATTTGGATCTTATTTGCTTATTCTTTCTCTTTTATCTGTTCTTAACAGCATTGTAGAGCTGTGACGGTGGCCTATGAAGCAAACCCGTTTCTTTACACTGCTCCATACTGCCTACCCATTCCATTGTTATTGGCTTTTGCTGTTTACAAGACCAGGGGAAGATAGACGGCCTGGAGTTGGTAAAGAGAGCTACTACAAGTGCCATTTTAATGTGAAATTGTAGTACACGAGAGAGAAGGCATTATGGTCGTGTTAATGTGAGTGGCAGTTCTTTCTTTATTGAGAGCGAGAGGAGAGAGAGAGAGAGAGTTAAGCTCATATTTGGAACTTTGAGAATTGGGCTTAATGCAAAACGTTTGTTTTTCTTACCCATAAACTAAAAGCACACTATCGGATGAGAGAGCCAGAGTATAGCCCCTCGCATGTAGAACTTTGAGAGGGAGAGATTAGAGTTTATTTTTTGTTTGTTTTCTGAGTAATTCAGTGGGGAAGACAAACCCTTATCCATTTTTAGGAGTTAAAGTCTTTTTTGCAAGTGTTAGTGGGGATGGAAAAAGTAATTAGGGTGTTGGGGTGTTACTATCATTCCATTAGAGAGGGATTAGCCCCTCGTATGTGGAATGTTGATGTTCGAGGTTTGAGCTTTTGAAGTTTTCACTTCAATCAAAAAGATTTGTTAGTCTGCCCACAATACACCAAAACTGTAAATTTGAGAGGGAGAAGATACTGTAAATTTGAGAGGGAGAAGATACTGTTTAGGCAACTAGAAAAGTTTATATAGATCCAAGGCTCTAAATAATCAAATTAGAGCTTCACTAAAAGTTTCATCAGAAGAGGTTGTTTTGATACCAAATATTTTCAATTTGATCATTCTGGACATGAGAAAAAAAAATGGATTTCGAGTTTTGGAAATAGTACATCTTGTAACACATTTTTTTACTGTTAATTTTCAAGATTTTCAAGTTTTTATAAATACTGGTCAATCTATATTATTTTTGTAGTTTTAAATTTTATAATTAGAGATAAAAAATATTTTAAGGCTATCGCAAATAGTTTTAGTATTGAAATCATATTGCTCGACACTAGTTGAAGGTGGGCTCCAATTTGGTTGTTTAGAACCTCGGTACTAGACAAACCGCACCCTTACATCGAACTCAAAACTTGAATTGAAATAAAATATCCAAAGCATAAAAGGACGGTTCTCTTATATTTTATGAACTTATAAAAGTGTATCTGATATTTTATGTTTATGTCCTATTTTTTAATAGCATTTTAGTATTTCAATTTTACTCTCGTTTTTACACATAGGACTGAACATTTGTGTATTCGTACTTCTAAATATCATGCATAGGTAAAAAAATATTTAAAATTATCGAATATATTTTTTCTTGGAGATTGTTTGAATTATAGGGGTGTTTGGTTATTTTATTCATTTTTTTTTTTTGGACAAGTGCATTATGCTGAGACGTATGGAGACTGAAAATTTGACCTCAATCCAATAGATTTAAACAAATAAAAATTGATAAAATCAAAATACTAAATATGCTCTTAAAAAAATAGGACACAAACATAAAATATAAAATAGAAAGTATTTTAAAAATTTTCAAAATATACAGGGATATTACATAAGGACATGGTTTCTATGAGTCCACGGACTCGCATGTAGAAATGCAGGCCTCTTAATAATTTATTTTTGAAATAGAATTTAATCCAAATTTTTAAAAAATATATCATCTTTAGCATGTAGATCATTAATTTATAAAAATAAATAAATTTTAAAAACTATAAATGATTTTTGGAGAAAATATTTGAACCATTGATTTTACTTTTTCATTGGAGGACTATTATTTATGTTGTGGATGTGTACTTTCTTTGGTGATTGGGTGAATGGGGTAGCCAAGCCCACATAGGAACAGGTGCGACGCACAAAACAATTATCCTTTCTATAAATATCTTTCAAAATTAAGACTGCTTTATTAACTTTGGATATTTAACCATCATTTGGTGGGCTCATGCTAATGATGTTCCCCAATAAGCTAACCTGCAGGTACAAACCTCAACTGTATGGCTGCTAGTGTCGCTGCTTGACCTGACTTGGATCGGTCGGGGTTGGGACCTTCAAAGTGGACTTGACACATCACCATCACTTTGGCCTAGATTATGAATCTTTAAAAATTTGAATTAAAATCCATCTTAAAGATGGATTTAAGAGATGGGCCTCTAAATACGAGCTGGGTTTTTTTTGGGTTTTTTGGGTAATTCAGTGAGGAGAGGGCCTCTATCTTGATAGGAATTGAACTTAAGACGTAACTTTGCAAATCATCAAGCGCTAACCAATTAAGTTCGGGCTCTTTTCTTATAAATATGAGTTGGTTGACTCATAGGAACCCATCTAATTAAAAAACCTTCTAGTCGATCATCTTGACAAGAAGATGTATGAATTTGGAAAAAAGAAAAAGACCATTTTAAAAATAGTGCATTTTGTAATATATTTTCTCCAACTTTTAAAGTTTGATGTGTGCCCTTTTGATGGTTTAATAAATGTGCGCTATATATATATGCAATCAGAATCTCCTGATATATTAATTTTCCGAAAAGCACTAGACACTCTTGATATGTAAACCCATTTGTATCATTGTCCAGTTATCGTTTGCCTTCAAGAGATATTACCAGTCTCCACCATACACTTTCAAACTTCCATTGAGATACCATTTGGTCTTAAAGCCTTTGTTATTTTTATTCTCCTCAAACTTAAGAGATATTACCAGTCTCCACCATACATTTACAAACCTCCATTGGGATACCATTTGGTCTTAAAGCTTTCACTATTTTTATTCTCTTCAAACTTCTCACTTCAAATACCCTAAAGACTTTCTTGATACAATTTTAACACTGCTCATTTTAAATTTTGGTGGGACACCCATTCTAAAACATCCATATTGTAGGTGGATGTTTAATGTGGCAAAGGATACTATTGTAGAAGCACCCCCCTAAAGATTTTCTTGATACAATTTTAACACTGCTCATTTTAAATTTTGGTGGGACACCCATTCTAAAACATCCATATTGTAGGTGGATGTTTAATGTGGCAAAGGATACTATTGTAGAAGCACCCCCCTAAAGATTTTCTTGATACAATTTTAACACTGCTTATTTTAAATTTTGGTGGGACACCCATTCTAAAACATCCATATTGTAGGTGGATGTTTAATGTGGCAAAGCATACTATTGTAGAAGCACCCCCCTAATGCATGAATTACTTTTTGGTGAGGTTTGTATAAAGCGTTAAATTTGTACCATTGAAAGTAAGGGTGCGGTTTGAATAGAACCTAGGCTCTAATTTGGTTAGAACCTAGGCTCTAAACAACCAAATTAGAGCCTACCTTCAACTAGTGTCGAGAAATGTGGTTGTAATATTGGAAATCTTTGTGATAGCTTTAAAATGTATTTTTATATTTCTTTATAATGCTTAAAGTTTAAAAAATTGTGTAGATCGATAAATTTATGAAAACTTGAAAATTGACTGTCCAAAAATACATTACAAAATACACTATTTTCAAAACTTGAAATCCATTTTTTTCTCGTGTCCATGCTCTACATAAATTTTCCCCTTGAAATAATTAAAAAATGCACTTTAAATATAGTAAAGCTTTGTGATGGCATTAGAAACCTATTCTTATCCTTGATTATAAAATTTAAAGCTCCAAAAATAATGCAGATCAAACAGATTTATAAAAACTTAATTTTTTTTTAAAAATAGATCATGTAAGAATTACGTAATTTTTTTATTTATTTTTTTGAAAATTTATTTTTTCAAATTCCTATTTATCATGGTTGCAATTTTCATTCCCTATAATTTTAAATCTAAAATTTATCTCTACCATAGATATTGGAGAGAGAAATTTAAATAGCTGAGTGAGCGAGAGACCTTGAGGATTTTTCAAAATTGAAATTTTGGGATCCACTCAAGAATTAATAAATAAAAAAATTTAAAATTCGAGCTTTCTAATACTTAGATCTCACCATCTAAAGGTTAGATGGTCTCTATTCAATCTCAAGACATATTTTTTTTTAGTTACATAATAAAAAATTTTCTTTATTGAGATTACTCTATGAGTTGGAGATGTTACATCTCCAAGGGCTCCTAAAATTAATTCTAGGACATGGTTTCTATCTGGCCAGCACGCATATTGTGCAAATGCGGGCTTGACAATAAATATTTTTTAAAATATAATTTGATTTTAATTTTTAGAGATGAAAAAATATTTGAAAATTAAAAATAATAATTATATTAAGAAAACACTTGGACTGTTCGTTATACTTGTTTTTAGATGGACCACTTATTTGCATCCATTTTTAAGATGGATGCTTTATAACTCTGAATTGCATATTGTAAAAATGCGGTCCAGCCCGCACGAAACAAGTTAATTCTGAACATGGTTCTACCTGAGGGAGTAAATGAATACTCTACTCCGGCACTAATGGAATATCTTTTGGCCACAGAGAAAGTGTGCATAAGGCTGCAACCTCGCGCCGCGAAAATCCTGTCGAAGTGGGTTTTTCGACATCTTTTTTGTGATGAGAAGGTTTAAGAGAATCTTCAAGATTGTCAGCCTGGTTAATGGCGTAGTTCCTGCATGCTCGCTCTTCAGGGTTAGGGTTTTAGAAAATATAGGGTTTTATGGTCAACGTTGGCAGAGACATTGAAGAATGAAGAGGAGATTACCTCCCCGGAGTTGTCGAGGTTTTACTGAGTTCAGTATTAGTTTTGGGGCTTTTTTCATGATTGATGGTTGCTTATTGTACCCTGATTTCTATGAAAAACAATGGTTACTTGTGCTTGTTTCTCTCGTGATTTTGCAACTTTTGTTTTGCCTTTTTTTTTTTTTTCCATTTTTCTGTTATTTATTTATTTTTATGGAAGTGGTTGCTTGCTGTATTTGCTTTCTCTGAGGAATCCTGGTATGGATTATGGTGTTTTGAATTAGATGTAATGGTTTGCTTCTCGATGGCTTCCTTTCCTATCTCTTTTTTATCGAAATCATTTGATAATCTTTCTTTTTATTCCCATTTATTTTGAAGAATCGAACGACCGTTGCATGTTTGTACAATGTGCTTGTTTTATTGATTGGAAGGAAGAAAATGGCGGGTGATTTTTTGCTGAAGAACTAAAATCGCCTTTTCCATGGTGATAACCCTACGTCGTTGTAACCTCAGTGATTTGAACGGAAAAATCGATTATTTATAGAATGTGTATAATGGCTACAACAAATTTAACTAATGAATTAGCACCTGCCTTCCAAATTGTTAAAAGTTTTTCAATGTTTACTTTCATTTTGAGCTCGACTTATGGGCTTTTATCCTCCATGTGAATGTCAATTTTTAAACTCAATATTTTTTCATTTTTACAATAGAAAACATTCTGAGAACCTTTGTTGTATATATATGCTTGTAAAAATCAAAGCCCAAAATTTTATTCTTATTATTGGCCTTTTGATTGTCTTTCCTCTTAGAACATTTATTTTTATTGTAATTTCATGTTGCCCGAGAACATCATATGTGTTTCCAAAAATCAATACTGTAATAACAATGAAAGATAATGACTACTGGAATGTCCTATGTTCGAGCAGAAGAATAGACGTAGCAATAATGCAGTAATATTTGATTTTGTTTTTAATGGTCTCTAAGTTTTAAAACTGGCCTGGATGACTTGAATGAACTGGTGATCTTAAAAACGTACAATTCTCAAAAATATTAAATAAAAGAGCAAAATATAAGCCTTCCTATTTTAGTGATTACCAGTTTGTAATTGTGCCTCTTTGTTTGTTTAGCCTTGTATAATTACTAAAAAAGATTTTCTGTATTTGCTGCAGTCCTTATTGTGATCTTGAAGATCTGAATGACATTGGGGCGAAGGTGCACAATGCACATTATTGCAATGATTTGATAAAAAATGAGTTGAAGAGTGACAAAGACCTTCCTCTTGCACATGGAGAGACTGCAAAGTTTTGTAGACCTTTGGACTCACCTCTTAGGCGGGATGAGGATGGATTTTGTGCTCAGATGCCTTTCGGTACCAAGGTAAGGAAAGCTTGTTCATTTCATAACCTTCGCAATTATGCTTGAACTACTTTTCAACTGTTTCTGGTATTGTACTTTGGGTGAAGTACATTGATAATCTTATGAAGTAAACTAGTAATCTGATGGGCTATTCCTACTCCATTGGGGTCGTCAACATCCAATGAAATGATAGTGATGGGGTGAGTGGGACGAGAAAGTGTTATGACCCCAATGATCGGTCTTCCTCCTGATCTTTATGGATTCTAGTTTTTCAAAACCCATGGGATTATATTATACTTTCCCTGTTTTTTATTATTTTTCTGGTCATATTTTCTTCATCTATATTACTATGTTCTCTTGTCGAGGCAGCCGAGATGGATTGCAGACAATATTCAAGGAAACGAAGACTTTGTGAGTCTTCAAAGGGGAACTCTTTGGGATGATTGCAAAAATCCCTATGTTGATCGGGATGCTAGTGATGAGGGACTTCAACATTGTCATACTGGGCATTCTATTCTAGGAGTTTCATGGGCACTAGCTGTGAAGGTGAAACCTATGTTTTATAACCTTCTTATGCGCGAATGTAGATACTTTAATTGAGCCCATTTAGACTTCAAAGTAACCTATGGTGGTGCTGGCTTTTTTTATTGGCTCCATGTTCCTTTTGTGCGCTGACATTGATCCTAAATATGCAGAATTTGTTTTCTTTCTATTTTACAATGCCAATGCTAGTGGCTTTTTTTGGCATCTATCATTTCACTATGCTGTGTCGCTTAGGAGTGTTTGCCTACATAAATTAATAAGTTAAGTGTTGACATTCATAGTTTCGTGTTATCCTTTTCTGTCCAGTGCTATGAATAGAATAGTGAGTTAATAACTAAACTCTTTCTGACCACGACTTGGCATACTGCACTGTAAACAATACTCAATGACTGATTTGGGTGGGGCAACACTTTGTTGCAAAGCAATCAATCTATTTAATGGGAATTATCATTTCACAATTGTCAGTAAAATTTGTGTCCGTTTCAGTTTTTGGTGTTTTCTGGTCATTTTTCTCAGTTAAACCCTTTTTGCTACTCGAATGTGAGATTGGATTCTTGAGAGCTGACAAGAATATCAAATCCAAGACTTTGAACGTTATTTCAAACATCTTGAAATGGTCCCATGTTATTATGTGCATATGTCAAGTATCTTAACTTCAATACTTTGTTCTTGGATTATTATTGAGATGCCTTAAATTACTCATAGATGAGCTTATTGAATGCCTGCTCTCGTTACTCTCTAGTTTTTCCTTATGTCAATAGATAACATTGACATCCTCTCTTAATTGTCATTGTTTCTTTTGGGATCCATATATTTAGCTATTCATTTTTTACTTTTCATTTGGCAGGAGAACTCTCTAGAAATTCATAGATTGGTGCAAAAATTTCAAGGATTCCACCTCTATGATGAAACTTCTGATAAATCTCATTTCCGAGAAGTGAATGGATCCTCATGGATTAGAACTCCTGATTTCTCTAATATTCCTAAAGCTTCGGGTGAATTAGTTGACGATGACTATAAAATCTTCCTTGATAATATAAGAGAACATGACCACTTATATTTTTTGGAACTAAAGACTCAAGAGGTTTCTAGGTCAATAATTGTGGTATATGAGAACCAAAACTTTTTGCCAATGGATGTCAAAATTGGAGAACAACCTATCATTTCAAGAAGCACTATTGATAACAAGCACACTGAAAGGACCATCTCAGATAAGAGACATTTCATTCCTAGTACTAGGTGGAAAAGAAGACGAGTTGATCAGAAAACCAGTGAAATAGATGATAAATCTTGTCTTTCTGGATTCAACTTGAGAAAGAGACCTGGTTTGGTTGATAATGACTCCAAGGCTCCCTTGGGCAAGATTAAAGATAGAAGAGTAAAGCAGCTAGTTGGTAAAAAGAATATGGTGTTTGATGATGACTACCAATCATATTTGGACAAGAATTGGGAGACTAGTACCTTAGAAACTATTTCATGGCCTTTGGAGAAAAGTAAGACGGATGACTCTATAGTTGATAATGAGTATAAGTTATTCCTCGATAATGTATTTGTAAGTGGTAGTTCTTGTTATCTGAAATTAAAGAATGGTAGGGGTCGTAAGCCAACTGTGGTTATGTATGGAGAAGTTATTGAGTCTCGACAGAATACTGTTAAAGAGAATCTCATAAAATTAAACGTAAAAATGGAGAAAAGGGATCCTATAGTTGAGACAAAGCAACCATGTAAGCGAACTATGCTCTGGCATGATAAAAAATACATGTCTCCAATGAGGAAAGCGAACGATATTTATGCACAATTACAGGAAACAAAGAAGAAAAGGATTCCTAAAGTTAAGAACAAGACAGCCTTGGTTCCTTTAGATCTTCCCCAAAGAAGGCCCTTAAAATTGTTTCATGAAAATAATATGACAGCACCTTCAGGACCTTCTGTTGGCACTTCTTTTCCCCTTTTGGTCAGTAGCAGTTGTTGCATTCACAATTTCTCATTGGAAGAGTACACTATGATCCCTAGTCCATTTAGTCAGCACCACCTATTGAAATGATGAACGTTGATGGAGTGGACTCACCAAATTATGACATGGCTCCAGTGGTGGGTCCCTCTCTATACATCTCCTTTCATTGTTTTTAATGGTTGTTGATGACCAAATGATTAATGATTATCATTTTTTCTGTGGACCACTGGATTATGGCTATTTTCTTTTTTCATTTGCATTTGGTTTTGAATTTAGTGCTTGTCTGTGTAAAAGTGCAGGTCTCAAAGGCCGATGAGGACATTACGAAGGACCCATATGATTCTCCTTCCTTCAAGGGGAAACTGATGGTTGTACTCTCTGGGCATTTTAACATGGCCGAGCTTAAACAGTTATTGTATGAAGTATCTATTCGTAGACCAATCGAGAGACAAAGAAATGTACGCAATGGATCCAAAACCTATAAAACAGAGCAAATGGGTCTGTCTTATCTAGACCACTACAATGGTTAGTATTCTGTGGTATGATTTTTATTAGTAAGATGCTTTGTAGTTTGCACTATTATTATCATTTTTATTATTTGATGGGTATCCTGGTCCTGGTCAGTATTACATCTATTGCATTACTATGTAACGATGTTTTGTTAGGCTTTTAGCAATCATCATTTTGAAGATCCCTAGAACCTGACAAAGTCACTATCAATGAAATCACTGGCCTATATATATATATATATATATATATATAGGGCAGTGATTTCATGCAACGGTTGTATTATAGTATAATGCAACCACACTTCTAGAAAACCATGCTTTGTATGATCTAAAATTTTGCACACACACTCTCTTCATCTCAATCTAAAAAATATATATATAATAATTTGTACCCTTTATATGGTCAAAATGACTCCCCTCCAACAATGAATCTAGACCGTCCATTTGATGAATTTTAAGATCTAGGCCTTTATGAATTCAAAATCATTTTTTTCTTTTTTAATATTGTTAATTTAATGATAATAAAATTATCTAAAAAATTTAGAAAGAAAAAAGATCATTATAAGGCCTAGATCTAAGCATCTCACCAAGAAGGACTGTCTACATTAATTGTGCTAAAAAAATATTTTGTAAGTTGCATTTTTAAAATTTTCTTTTTTGTGATTGTTCATTAGAATGAAAAGAGTTTATATTTCAAAATTTGGAACAAACAAATGGCCCTAACATGGTTTTTGAAGGTTGTTGCAATATATTACCATACAACTGTTGCATGAAATCACTGCCCATATATATATATATATATGCCCTAGACTTCTCTAATTCACACATGAGGATTAGCAAAAATTGTCATAATTTTTATATATATATTTTTTTTATGGAAAATTAAAGATACACCCCAAATTCAACTTTCTAAAAATCCTACCCCCCAAAATTTTTTGTTTCCCACCCTAAACCCTAATTATGTTTTTCCTTATATTTATCTCTCCAAGTCAAAAAGTCAATGGATTTAAGACAAAAATGCCCATACTCTCTCTTCTCCTCTATTTTGGGTCACATGACTCTCACTCTCTCGCCCAAAGTATTAAAAATCCATTCTCTCTCTTTCTGTCTTTCTCTTTTCTCTCTCTCTCTCTCTGTCTTCTTCTCTCTCTCTCTTCTGTCTCTCTTTCTCTCTCTCTCTCTCTCTCTCTCTCTCTCTTTCTCTCTCTCTTTCTCTCTCATTCCTTGGTAATGCTGTCTGACAGATAGGTTGCCAGACCACATTGAGTTGCAGTAACATGGCTTGTAATGCTGTCCAGCGTGTGTCAGACCGGTTAAAACTGGTAATGTGGTCCGGCACACTTAGTCCATAGCTAGATAGAGAAAGAGAGAGAGACTGAACGAGAGAGAGAGAAAAAGAGAGATTGAGAGAGAGACAATGGGTTTTTACTTTGGGAGAGAGAGTGTGGTCAAAGAGAAAGTCACGTGAACCCAAAATAGAAGGAAAAGAGAGAGTAAGGGCATTTTTTTTTTGAAGAGAAGAGAAGAGAGTAAGGGCATTTTTGTCCTAAATCTATTGACTTTTTTATTTTGGGAGGGGGGGATAAATATAGGAAAAACAATATTGGGGTTTAGGGTGGGATACAAAAAGTTTTGGGAGGTAGGATATGTAGAAAATTGAATTTGGGGGGTATCTATAATTTTCCATTGTTTTTATTGGAAGGTATGATTCTATGACCATACAAGATCTGCATTTGATCGTTTATTGAGCCTTTATTAATCAATTGAAAAATTATGAAATCAAAATCAATTTAAAATTTATTAAATGAAAATGGACTAAGGAATTTACTGCAACTTTTTCCTGTAGATGAAAGGGCTCGGGAGCAGTAACAACTAACAGCTATGGTTATATCATTATCTGGATCTTTTCAAACTGCATAGGTTCTCTCATAGGAGTTGGAAAGAGAAGGAATTGTTCCTCGTTATTGATGTTATGGCACCACATGCACGTAGATGAACCACCAAGTTATATCCCAACTTGTTTCAATTAACATTCTAATAAATGTATATGGAAAAAAACTGTTCTGTGATGCCATCATTCTAAAGTTAAGTGTTGAATGCATGGGAATAGAGAAGTGTGGTACGAGTATCGTCTGTGTTCCCTTCAGAGAGAAATTATACAACATTCAAAATGAATCGTGACAAAATCTTCATTTTGTAAAAATCAGCTTTATCCAAAAAAAATAAAGGAATCTTCTTATTGTTAAAATATGGAAGTATGATACAAATTTTTGATTTTTAGTCAAAGAAATGATCCAAGTGAACTTTTTTAAATCGCTAATGAGAGGAATGTATTATCTTTTGGGTTTTCAGGACCATCAAACATGCTCCTCCCTTTCTCTAAACAGCCCTTTTTGTTAGAATTTGGAAGCTTAGGGCTTAGGCACTTGTTGGCTTCAGGTGTTAGCGAAACTTTATTATAAATTCCTAGAACTTAGGTGTTAAACTTGAACCTCTCATACATAAATGCTAGATCTATTCATTAATGTCACTGCATACAAAGGTATCTCTGCAAAATGTTTATTAAGTGATTCTGTTCTCCAATATATGCCTCCTTTTATTTTTAAACCCATGAATTCCATTTATATGCAGTTCCTAAGGGTTTCATGTCTGAGCTTTATGTTACTGTACTGACAATTTTTGTCCTTGTGGGTTAGATTTGAAGAAAAAGCTCAAGGTGTCAGTACTGACAATATTTGTCCTTGTGGGTTAGATTTGAAGAAAAAGCTCAAGGCGTCAGTCAATAATTATGAGAAGTTGCTCTTATTGAGGGGGTTCTTCTTCTGGTTAAAGGTATTTTACTGATTTGATGGTCTGAGTAGTTAAAAGGATAGTATTTTATAACTCTATGGACTACGGCAAACGATTGCTTGTTAGTGTCATAACTGTCCAATGAGTTGATGGACACTGCTAGAGAGAGTGAGTTTGACCATTAATTGGGCTCATGGTTTGTCTGGTGATTCTACATTCTCTCCATCACTGCCCCTCATTTCATCTGACACTGATCACCCTAGTGGACTATGGTTTTGCATAGTCCAATATATTATGATATAACCTTTTTTGAATAATTCTATTGGTGCCTTACAATGTTGAAGTTTTGTGCGTTCTCCCTTTTAATTTAGCATGTTAAGTGGGTCTTAATTGAAATGGATCTTCCACAAAGGATATTAGCATTATTCTCGAGTTCACTTTAGAGAAAGCCAAGTGTAAACTGAATAGAGAACTTCTGAAATATAAGTGAAACTGTTCTTTGTGATTGAAAGGATGAAGATTTATACCGTAGCTGTGGGGCCAAAGGACAAATGACATCATACAAATACAAAAGGACCAAAAGAAGAATATAGACATACATAATATCTGTTCTACCCCAACAACACGAGCCCTATGCCGCACAGACACTTGGTATACAAGCTGTAGTTTTATGCAACCTTTTCTAGTGCACAAATTTGAAGTTTTCTCCTCTGGTGAGATCTTAGTGATATGGTCATGGAAAGAACCTAGTTAAGGGTGATAACATTCGCATTGTTGGAGTGATTTAAAAATGGGCCTGCCTAGAGCCTAGGCGGGCCAGGGGGTCCTAGGTGCACCGACCAGGCTTAGGGGGGTGCAAGGGCATTTTTGTCCTTTTCCTCCTTAAATAAGGGAGTAAGGGGGTTAGGTTCTTGTGTGACCTAAACGCCTTTTTTGATCTTTTGGAGTGAACATTTTTGGAAAAAACCACTTCTTTATATTTCTGTGAGATCAATTGGGTTTATTAAAGTTTAAAAAAATCAATCTAAACATCATCCTTTTGGTTTGGATTTGATTTTGTAGCTTTTTTAAGCTTATTAGAAGGTTTTAAGGAAGCATTTGAGATTGGGAAATATTTCAAATGTTAAAGATTGAAGATCGAGCAAACAGGTTAGTTTAAGAATCTTTATATTTAAGGTTTTATTTGTTATTTCATGTCTTCTTTGGGTTCTTCTAGAAGTAGTGATCCGGATTGGAAGTATGATTATAACTCAAATCTAAATGACAAAAAATGTTTAAAATGTTATTGTTGTGAAAAAGATACTAATGGGGGTACAAACTGGTTAAAAAAACCCCTTGTCGGTATTAGGGAGGATATTGTCCCCTGTAAAAATGTTCCTGAAGCTCTCAGGGAGGAGATTAAGAAATATTTGAGTTCAAAAAAACACAAAAAGGAACAAAAGGAGCCTTGTCATTTGGATAAGTCTACTTATGGCTCTTGTAAAAGTGATGATCCGGGTGGGTTGGAAGTATGATTATAAACCGAATCTAAATGGAAAAAGTTATATAAGGTGTAATTTTTGTGAAAAAGATACCTATGGGGTATTAACTGATTCAAGAAACACCTTGCTAGTATTAAAGAGAATGTTGCTTCTTGTAAAAATATTCTTAAAGCTATTAGAGATGATATTAGACAATATTTGAATTTGGTAGAACCAAAAAATGAAGAAAAGGAACTTGTTATATGGAAATGTCTTCTTTGGGGGTATTTACCAATTCAATAAACACCTTGCTGATATTACGGAGCTGTTGTCTCTTGTAAAAATGTTTCTGAAGCTACGAGTGAGGAGATTAAACAATATTTGAGTTCAAAAAAACACAAAAAATAGGAAAAAAGTAACGAGGCATCAAGTAGAGGAGCCAACACTCGTAGGGCCTCTAGATCATCTGCATAGAGCAAGAAGTTTAGAAGAAATGTAGGAGGACGAGCTTTATGTTGAACAAGGTGACTCTGATGATGATGGACTCGATTCCGATGAATATGATGAAGCTTACCTCACTTTTCTGATGATGACTGAAAACTCTCGACTCTTAAGTTTTCAAGTGTATATATTTTTTTATTTTTTTTATTTTCTAGTTTCTACCCTTATATGTATGCATGTATGGTTGTACCATTGTATGAAACTATGGATTAGGGAATAGTATGGACTACAGAGCATGGAGTATGGTCTATGGAGTATGGATTATGGAATGTGCCTATATTACTAATTTACTATTATATTTCATTTTTAGTTGTGCTAGTAGTCTATTACAAATTTGCAATGGTTTGGAACTTTCTATTATTGGTTTTTAAATTTTTTAATATTTTATAATGTATTACTCATGTTCCCCTGCCCTCTTCTTCAACCTAGGCCGCCAAGAAATCTGGGCGGCCACCTAGGTGTTGGGTGGCTGGGACCCATGATGGCCTAGGATCCGCCTTGCAATTTTTAGAACATGGCATTGTGTTTTTCTTAATTATATATTGGGTTCTCAGTACATTGATTGATGGCCTCTCAAAAGAGGCTTTTAGCCTTGTCTTCTTTTCTGCTATAGTTGCTTTTCATCATAAATCCTTATCAGTAGGTGATTCCAAACTACTTTCTAGGGTTGCCCCATAATCCAAGCGTCTTCTAGAACCTCTTCTCTCTCTCTCTCTCT